TTCTTGCGAATTGAAGGGAAGTCGGTTGTTAAGATGATGCCTTAGAGGGCGCGATAGGGCGCGGGGACGAGGCCGGGAAGCGCGTTAAAGTTGAGGGTTGGGGGATTTCAGCAACCATCGACCTCAGCTCAAACCGACCGCAGGGCTGAACATCAGCCCATCGGACCCCAAAGCCCCTTCCCTCTACAACCCAAGAGGGGGGGGTGCCCTGGGCGCGGGTCAAGCCTGTTTGGACTTTAACTCACAGCAAGCAAGTCTCACACTGGCAACAGACCTGCCAGTGCTCGGACTCGCGCGGGGGCACTGCACTGCGCTGTCCTTTGGCTGTGTTCAAGCAAGACGCTGCGCGTGAGCGCGGGGGTGCCAGGGATTCCCTTGAACCTTACCTCGTAGAGAGAGAGAGGGAAAGAGAGAAAGAGAGAGAGAGAGAGCAAATTCTCACATCCTCCCAAATCCTCAGAAAATTGGGGGGCAGTGGTGGTCGGGGATTTAATTCGTCCCTACGCACTCCGGAAGAAGAGAGAGAGAGGGAGAGAAAGAGAGCCGTGCCGGCGTGCAGGCAGGGGTCCGCACCTTTCTCTTGTCTGTGGAAGAAGAAAATAGACAGAGATGCTGAGGAGCCAAAGCCGGCCACTCCAAACACAGAGGGGGTGGTCGGGGGTCCCGGCCGATGGCCCAAGGGTCGCACGACGACCCCTTAGCCCAGCACAGAAGAAACGAAGAGAGAGAGAGAGAGGAGAGATACAGCTCTGAAAGTGTAAAAAGGTTGAGCTCTACCCTCGGCAACGGCATTCACTTTCAGAGCCGTGGTCAGCCAGCTGCCCTTCAACCTCCTCCGCAACAGTCGGGGGCGCACTTGCGCGCGGTGTAGGGGGTCAATCCCCTACACCCTAACCCTGGCGAAAGAAAGAAAGGAGAGATACAGGTATAGATAAAGACTTGATCAAGATAAAGGCTATAGATGTAGAGATGGAGTTAGATAAAAGCATACATAGATACAGAGTTACGTACATACCTAATCATCAGAATGTGAGTAGTTCCTATTTTGCCTTCAAGGTTGTACCTTCTTCTGGCTAGGGTGTTTCCGAAGCATTCGCTCATTCGCAACAGAATCTCAGAACCCCGAAGACGCAAACTTGAACTGCTCACAAACGGGTCTTGGTTGGTTAGTCAAGCCCTGTACTACCGGCGCGAGCCCACTTCAGGAAGGACTTGGTGAAGCTCTTCGAAAACGAGGGCCGCATCCTGCGCTTCACTGCCCAATTCTACAAGGCGAAACCCGAGGATGCCGACCGCATCTCGACGATCTGGATGTGGCCTGGGGTCCGGAGTTCTGGCGATTCAGCGGCTTCGGTTTGGACCCGAATAGCACATCAACATCTAGAGATTTAGGGTTTTGGATCTAACAGTCGACTCTAAGCTGTACATCCGAACCTCGAAGAGACAGACAGTTTCTGAAAGCTCTGGCCGTAAGCCTTGGTTTCCACACCCGAAAGGCCTGAACGGGTATCTAACACATAAACCCTTTGACCGTAGACTTGAACAGTTTGCATTGGGCTGTAGGAGGGTACATGGAATTGCGGCAAGAGGAGTCAGGGATCCGTTCCGACAACGCGGTCCAGCGAAACCTCAGGTCTGTAGGATCAGGACCCAGCAAAGGACTCAACCTTGCAGAAGCCCTTGAACTCAACGAGCTCACGACGCACCTGAGTAGACTGGGCGTTCCTGAAAGCACTGAACACCCGGCCCCCACGGGCGCCAAAGTCAATCCCAGGACTTTTCATCGTGAACTTCCACCTCTTCGACGATACCTTGTCCATCCATGAGCCACCGCAACGAAATATGGGTGAGCTCGGCAGTTTCTCTGGGGATCGTCTTGCCTAGGTTGGGGAGCCGGGGGTGAGGCGGTCTGAGGTCTGCAGGCTTTTGGTGTGCTTCTTGGCAGCTTTCATTGCCAGGGATCAAGACAGTCAAACTTTGTGCCAGGCATCCTTACCGGCAAATTCCTGGAGAAGAGCATCCACCTGAACCAGGCCCAGGGTGTTGTGGAGTGGTTTCCGGGGTCGCAGGCAACCGCTGAAAGCGTAGATGTGCCGTCAAATCGCATCCCGACCCAAGCCCCAAGGCAGCAAGCTTGAGACGGATTATGCTGGTGCACACATGGCTGCTTGCCCCGCATGCATTCCAGGAAACGGGCGCCCTCTTCAAGGCGCAGGGCTCAGGTCTTCTACTAGTAGCTTAGTAGCTTAGGGTAAGAGAGGGGATGGGAAGCTTGGGAGTGTTTGAGAGGTCGTTGCATCATTTCTTCGGCTGAGGTGGAGGACTTCGTGCCCGGCAGCGTGATCAAGGTCTACAACCGACTCCTGGTCGCAGTGGGCAGAGCGCAGTTCTTCGTCTTTCCTCCTGCACTCCGTGGCTTCCAAGGAGAGTTTGAGATCCTGGACATGGATGACTACACCAGGCAAAGGGGCTCAGGGACTCACATGCCCAGCTGCTCTGAGGATCTTGCCTTGGCAGGAAGTACTTGGAGGAGGGCGGGGTGAAGAGGCACTTCGACCTTGAAGGCGTCCTGCAGAAGCTGCGGGAAGGCAGAGCAGGGACGGCAGGGAGGGGGCCCTGGAACTTCGTGGCAGTCTGTGTCGTACCTGGACCTTCGTTGCAGAAACAGTGTCGTAGTCGTAGGCATCCTTCCGCAGGCATGCGCCAGCAGTACCCACTGGCCCGCGACATCTTCCGCAAGTTCGACGCAGACCACGACGGCGTGGCCACCCCAGCCTCTATAGTTGACAAAAAACCCTAATCGCCCCTCAGCGACCTTTCAATGTCTCGAGGTCCTTACAAAGACCGAGTTCAAGAATGCCCTGGTGAAGTGGGGCTTCCAGGTGACCGAGGAGGAGGCCCTCATCATCATGAAGGCTTTCGACTCGCGAAAGGAGCCCAGCCGGATACCCCCCCGGAGCCGCTTAGCCCTTCCCTTCTCCGTGGCAAGCCTTAGAGGACGGCCAGATCAGTTACAACGAGTTCTGCGATACTCTTATTGATGAGGACTACACTTATGCCTTCGGGCGGCAAGGACGTTGCGCTTGAGTCCGTGACCTGTCACCGCTGCTCACTATCCGAGGTAATGATGAAGCAGCGGCCCAAGCTGAACCAGGACGCTCCCTGGCTTTGCAGCCTCGCTCCTCTGGACTTCCTGCCTATAGTAAGAGAGCTCATGCACCCCATGCAGGAAGTTGGGAATTACCCGGAGCTGGCCAGGACAGACCTCCATGGACGTCTTCAGCGGGTAAATCTGAGTCATGCAGACCTTGTCTGTTGACGGGGCAGCTCGAGTGCGGGTTGGGTTTTCAGGCTTGAGGTGTGACACATCTCTGCATCTGCAGGACAAAGCTTGAGGAGCAAGGCGAAAGGGAGAAGATTCGCGCTGCGGTGCGGAACATGGGAGACGTGGTCTACAAGCCCCTTGGCCCAGCCATGGCTCCCTCAGCGGAGTTTCTTTAGCTGTCGCATACCTTCGAGGCACAATGCAAACTTCATGCGCCTCCTCAAGGCGGGGTATGGCGGCAGCTTCCAACGATTGCCGTTAGGGTTGTCTAAGGGATCTATAGGGTTTAGGGCCTAAGGTACTGTATGCAGTTTGAGCGCCTATGATGCCTCCAAGCTGTCAGGAGTTCGCACACCTGACGCACGAGAACACAGTCACTTGCGAGCAGATTGTCCAAGCGCTGGACTCTATCGGCAAGACCTTCTCCTTAGAGGACTTGGGGAAGAGTTCGGTCCGAGCCGCTTTCGGCTTGCCCGGTGCTTCAGCAGGACGTGCAGCGATGTGTGCGACCGCCTTAGCTTGCGGGCGAAAGGACTTGCCGATTCCTCTGCCAAGGGGCAGAGACCGCCGTGCTGCTCAGGTCCTATGTTTTGCCGGATTGCGATTTCGATAAAGTCGAGTACGTGCCCTTCTTGAAGGCGGTGGCTGCCCCACAGAATCAGCATGTCCTGGGGTTGCCGCAGGCTTGCCCTGCCTTGACTTGAAATTTAAAATTTTCTGAGGTCGTGACTTCATTCCACGACCTCAGCGCGAGTCGATGAGGCAATGCGGGAGCTTGCAACGGAGGTTTTATTGGCGCAGTGGAGCAACGAAAGCCGTGGCTTGAGGTTCTCGACTGAGCTTGTTAGCGCACATCGCCCAGGACTCTGACATCCGGCGATCGGTTTCACCGTTTCCCCACAGTTGATGCCAAAGGTACTGTGTGCCTGAATTGGGGCAGCCGGAACGTGTCACAAAAACAGCGCAGGCCGTAGAATTGACTGAGCACCCACACGCCTGCCTACACACAGGTCTGCATGCGCTGCCCGTCCTTGCTTGAAGGCTCTGAAGGTCTTGCCGTCCTCGGATCTGCCGATTCTGTCGAGATGCAGTGGCATGCCACCTGCGAGCCCACGAAGACTCGCCCACGAAGACTCAGCCGAAGGTGCGCAACAGCTCGGGGCCCGTGGCTGTCAGCTTCGATCCCACCACCCCGTGCCGTGCGACGCGCTCCTGGAGGCTGGAGGGCCTCATCACAGCGTTTACGGCCATCGTCGTGCCGCAATTTCAAGCCTGGGTGTTGCAAGGGAGCTTATGGAGCAAGGCACAGTCTGACATGGTGCTCGGGCTTGAAAGTGGCGTACGGCAAGCTTCGACCCACCGCCGGGTAGAAGTCTTGGCCGCGCCCGGTGCCGTCCGCGCTGCCCTCCCTCAAGCCTTGGGCCACGCAAGACTAACGGGAGCATGAGAGTGCATGTGCGAGATGAAGGCCAAGAAGGGTCGGCATCCACCTCAACAAAGCAGCTGGGTTTGGCTGCTGCTGTCTTAAAGTTCTTCGCAGGGTTTTCTGGGGATGCAGGTGCAAGGACCAAGAGGTTACACCCTGTAAGGCAATGTGATGCTCGGAGCTGCTAGCCAGTCTTCCCGGCTCAACTGCCCTGCCTCGTGCAACCTTCGCAAGCTTCTAGTCATAAGCATGGAGAACTTCGATGACGCATTGCTGCCCCGCGTCCTCGGGCAACTGCTCAGTGGCCCTGCGGCCGTAAAAGCGCTGCGCAGCTGCAGGAGCCTGAACGCGAAGCTGTGGCCGCGGTGCCTTCAAGCCGGGGAGGGTCTTTGGATCCTTGAGCAGCTGAAGATGGTCCCCTTGGAGGAACTCCTTTCTCGAGATGAGAATCTCCATGCTTGCTTTATGTGGGCCAGAGGGCGCACGAACATCTGCAAGATTCTCTACAACTCACTCGACCATGTGCTGGAGATACACAGAAGTGTGCCAGAACGCGAGCCTTCGGGGGAGAGGGAGACTGACATGGACCAGCACAAGTCAAAACTTCTAGTCGCCCGGAGCTTGGCAGAGAGCTTCACGGCAATCGATGGGAACGAGACTTTGGAGCTGACCAGGCGGAGACTTGGCTTTCCCAATGCTATGTCCCAGCAGCTACCAGAGCTTTTTTCGGGTGTGTTGGAGACCGTAGGAGAGGAGTCGCCGGCTCTCGTTGCTCTGGGCCTTGCGGGCTGGAAGGTGTCCGAAGCCTGCGAGCAGATATCGGGGCACCGTCGCTGGAGGAGGTTCCGTTTTCAACGTCCAGGGTCGAAGATCCCGCTGGCGATTCTCCATATGAGCGGTGAGTTTGACCTACCGGGCATGGACGGCGACGTGAAGGCGAGCCTGGCTTACCTAAGTACTGACTTCGACTACGTGGTCGCGCTACGGGAGTTTTGTTGGGATTTTCCCATATACCGAAAGTTGTCGACCAAGGTCTCCTCCGGCTGGGAGGATGTGCCAAGGCTCCTGAATGGTCCCAGCAAATCGGACCCGCTGCATCTCCTCAGTTGGGAGGGCACGAAGCCCGAGGAGATCCTTTCACAGGTCACTTTGCCGGATGGCTGGGAGGTCGAAGGAACCACTTCATACATTTACATGGATGACTGTCGGTGCATCATGGGCTCCCCATCCCTTGAGCCTGTTTGGAATGATGCCAGGCGATTGATGGAGCGATTGAGAGCCGAGGAGTCCGCAGCTGTCAGAGGGCCCGAAGTCTGATGGCCTCTCTGGACATGTGTGCGCCTGCCTCATTGTGCAATGTTACATTAAAGTCTGGCGAGCTCCAGTTCGATCGCCGTCCGCCGCAAACGTCTGTGAGCTGGATCGGGTAGAAGAACCACATGGCTTTCTGCAAGACCTTCTCGAAACTTATCGTTCTGGGGCACCGTGACTAACTGGATGGCTGGCTTGCTGGCAACTCACCACATCTCAACACGCACTTCCTCAAGTCCCTCGCTCACTCGCACTCGCTAGCCGCTAGCCGGCTGACTCACCAACTGACTCACTGTGGAACTAGTACCAGTTGTCGAGCTCGGTTTCCCCCGTGCAAAGCCGGACACCTCGCTGCATACTGCACCTGTCACGCTCTTCATAAGGCCCGTACCTTGCCTGACGATGCAAGCTCTGTTCCAGCACAATCTTGCTAGCCTGCTACCTTACCTCGCAGAAGATCATGCACATTCTGTTCTCGTGATTGGGGCCTGGTTCTGCAGGCGGAGCCGTGGGAAGCCGTGGGAAGCAGTGGCCTCTGCCTGGGGCAGAGATCGGAGTTAGGGAAGCAGGGAGCATGAACTTCGGTTCCGAGACCACTGCCGAGACAAGGCACGCTCTCAGCGCAGAGTGCAGCTGCATTACTTCTCTTTGCAGCAGTACGTAATAGCAGTAATGGCAGCCTCAGAGGGTGCCCCAGCCATGCCTTGAGGTCGGATCTGGTTGGCGTCTTCTCGACGTCTTCCGGCGGCCCACGGGTTAGGTAGACAGCTGTTAGCAGCTTGCAGATGTGCTGGGACAAAATGCCCGGGCTGCGTTTTATGCGACAGCGCTGCAGCCGACTCCGAGACCCTACGGTGCAATGCATGAGGCCCGTCCACGACCCCGCACAACTTTCGTTTGAAGGTTCGCGCCTCAGCATGATCGCACTGTTTGGACGGGGATGGGGCTGTCAGGGGGTGCATTCGGCAGTGCGGTGATTCAATTTGCGATGCGGTGTTCGGAGATGTGTGCTACCCTGCAGGTAGCAAGGTCGCACTCCGGTGTCAAAGCTGCACTTCTTTCGTAGACGCTCCATATTCATATCGATTGCATCGTGCAAACGTCGTTTCGGAGTTTCGTAACGGAAACATGTGAGACACGGTAATTTGCAAAGACCAGAGCCGCAGCATCTGATTTCCAGAGCACCCACATCAGCAGTGTGCACAAGCCAAACGCCCTGGAGACTGACCATGTTCTGCGCGTCTGGTGCGACACCTCTTGCTGGCAGCAGAAGGATTATGCCCCCGGAGCACGGTCTCACCAGAAGGCGGCAAGGAAAAAGCGGCCTGGGACCGGTAGGACCACAGCCTGAGCAACAACCCCCTGAGTTAAACGAAGATGGTCTCTGTTCGGGTTCCTTTAACGACTGTGCGAGGCGCCAGAGCTCCCCAGTGCCGAGGAGGTCTGGAATGCGAGGTGCCCAGAGCGTTGAAGGGGTCGCAGGCCTGGGGGCTGGAGGGCGGGCGGTTCAGAGTTAGAGCGTGTGTGCGCGATTGAATCCTCTGAAAGCGGGTTGCGTCGTGGTGTTTGTTGTTTCTGGCCGTCACACCTGCCATGGTGTGAGCAGCATCGTCCTCGCCGAATGTGATATTCTTGGTTGCCCTGACTCAGATCCATCCAGCTGCTCCTCCTCAAGTTATTGCTGCCCCACGATCATGATGGTGATGATGATTATGATGATGGTCATCATCACCGTCATCACCCGTGGGCACATATTGTTGCTGTAGCTTCACCTGAGTCTAGTAGTATCACTCTTGCTAGGATGCGCAGGATGCCTCGTGGCCTTGCGCCCCTAGGCGGAGTTGCAGACCGTACAGCTTCCCCAGCCCACATATGGGGCACTTACCTGCCGTGGTCTCAGCCTGGCAGAGTGCATGTGCATAAGCATTTCAGGTTGGGGGTCGAGGGCTTGCGAGCAGGGGAAAAGGTGTCCATACCGCATACTTTTCAAGAAAGGAAGGCCAACAAATGCACGTCCCAGGCCCCGAGCAAGCCTCCTTCCCTTTGACGATGGCGACTGCATGTTTTTTATTGTTTAATACTCTCACGGCTGCTTGGCTTGCTGTTCCCGCTGCATCTTAACAACCACCACCACTAGCAGAAAGCAATCGGAACTACAGCTTAACAGCCACGACCAGGCAGCACCCCGTTGCAGTTCCAACTGATCTTTCAACGAAGGGTTCGAAGTATAAAGTAGTTCCATGTTCCAAGATCTTGAATGGCGCCCATCCATGCGATCACGCTGGACAATGTCGACGAGATAGTCGAGAACTTATATCTCGGTGGTATAACTGCGGCGCACGAGACCGAAAACCTTGTGGAGCAGGGGATTCGGGCCGTGGTCTGCTGTGTCCGCGAGACAGAATTCCCCAGCTACGACTTCAACAAGCAGATTCATTACTTCCGTGTGGACGTGGAAGATGTCTCCATTGAGCCCATCGAGTACTTCTGGCCAGAGGCGATGCAGTTCATTCATGAACATCACTCCAAGGGCCTGCCGGTTTTTGTGCATTGTCGTGCTGGGGTTTCAAGAAGTGCCTCCACTGTGATAGCATACCTCGTCAGCCAACTGGGCTTCACTTTGAAGGATGCTTTCTTGCTGGCTCACAAGAAGAGACCGGTAGTAACACCCAATCTTGGCTTTATGGACAAGCTTTGTGAGCTGGAGAAGTCGATCAAGGGCACTTCGAGCATCGACTTGTTCAAGTACGAAAGCTGGTGGAGCGGCTCTCACATGGCGGAAGTGCCTGATGTGGGCATTGAAGATCTCGAAGAGAACCCCGAGCCGGAGAAGGTGCCGGAGGCCGAGGAGGCCGAGGAGGCCGAGGCAGCGTCGCCTTCGTCTCCCAGCGGTCGCTCCAGCGTGGCCCAAAAGCTCCAAGCTGCCAATCGAAAGCTCAGGATCCTCCGGGCCATGTCTGACCTGGAACACCAGAAGCAGGTGCTCCTGGACCTTCCCGAATTCGACGACGGCGACCCGCCGGTACAAAGGAAGCGCATAGAGAGGATCCGAGCCCTCCTCATCCGCCAAGCGGCTCACGACCCGGAGTTGGGCTACTGCCAAGGCACGACAAGCCTAAAACTCGAGTTTCGGTTTGCCATTTGCAGGGTGTGCTGTGAAAGAAGGTATGCACCTCAGTGCCGCCATCTTCGTGGCTGCCTCCGAATCCCAGGGGGAGGCCTACTGGCGCTTCCACGGCTTCACCACGGCCCTCCGGGGCTTGTGGCTCGGATCGAGCAGCTTCCCACTCCTGAGGAGTGGCTGCGCATGCTTCCAGGAGGGGAGCAAGAAAGAGGTAGAGACTCGCTGAAGAGCGTAGAGCTTCGAGAGCCTTACGGTACGTGAGAGCGCTCTATAGAGTTTTTAGTGAACTTTAGTGCTTGGGCAGGAGCTTGCAAAAGGGAGACCTTGGTTTCAGCACCTCATGGCCTTGAAGATCGACCTGAACTTGTACCTCGCGCAAGCCTGGCTCGGGCTTTTCGGTCTCTGGCTGCCCTTCTCAGTCCTCGTTCAATGCATTCAGCTCTTGGAGGGGAGCCACATGGCCGGGCTTTTGGCGATGACCTTGGCTTTGCTGGATCGGCGCAGCGACCGCATGCATGAAGCCCAAACAGAGGTACTCACGGCTGGTGCTGAAAAGTTCAGTTCAGGGTATTTGCATGCTTTTTGTTATACTATTTCCCCTTCCTGACGCTTCCTAGGATGGTCTTCTGCGAGTGCTCTTGAGCAAGGAGGACATCTCGGCCCGGGAGATCTTGCAAGAGACCCGGAAAAATCTGGCTGAGGCCTCCATCGCACTGAAACAGAACACCTGCGTCGTAGAGGAAGCGGAGCTCACCCTGACCATGCGGAATTCCAGAGTCTTCTCAGATGAGCGGAAGATCTTGGAAGGCTTACCAAGCTTGTCCGAGCTGGTACTCCAGGAACGGGTTGAACCTGAGGTGACGGAGATTGCGCCCGTGCCCAGGCAGGACATTTCTTGTTGGTCCTGCCTGGAAGCTTTCCGGAAGCCCAAAGAGAGCCCCCAAGTAGCGAAGCGTGCCGGAGCTAGCGTCCACGACCAGAACCAAGAGTTGGCAAAGATGCGAAGCTTCACCCACGCAACCATCAGGCGCGAGGCACGGCAGCGCCTGTCTCGCTTGAACTGGGCTGATCAGACGTCGCTCCAAAAGTGATTCGACTCATGAGCCCGATGTCGAAGCGAAAACGGATGAGGTGCTTCCAGTCGGCTTGGCGATCTCCAGCGCAGTCGCGACCAGTACCCGTATACCATCGCGAGTCGACAGCAGCAACAGCAGCACGAAGAGACATGGCAACACTTGCGCTACCTCCCTGCCTGCGGCTGCATTCATGCCTGCCTGTACCTAGCATCACCCAAATTCCCCAGAGGTGCTGCTGCGCTGCGCCGACGCCTGGAGATATGGAAGGCCGCCTCCGAGAGCTAAGCTGAGGGTCAGCCGCGGGCGGGCGCTTCTTTGGGGGTAAGCGCCGCCCCCGCCCCGCGGGTGTTACGACGGGGGGCTTAGGCTTAGCCCTGTGCTGTGCTCAGATTCGCTCCGCAGCTCCAATCCGCTCCTTGGTGCTCAGCGTCGAGGACCCGCCGCGCATTCGCCGATTCGCATTGCTCTGCCTTGGCTCAGGGCAATGCGGGGATGGAAGGTAGTACAGGGTTCGGGGGAGTTTCTCAGCCTGCATACAGTACTTCGGGCTCTTCAGTGATGCTTCGTGCTTGTTTTTTTGAATGGTTTTGAGGCTTTCAGGGCTCCGGCATCACCTACAAGTAGCGGACCCAGCATGCTCAGGAGCCCTCAACTCTTAGGGAGTCCCCGGGCACGACGCCTGGGAGCGGAGAGGAAAGAGAGAGAATGCAAAGATAGCAGCAGAGCAAGACTTGAGCAATGATTACCAAGATGACTGGCAAAGAAAGACGACAGAGCACCTCTGAGCTCTGGCGCTCCTTCCGGTGCGACAAGAGAGCGCAAAGAAGCTCAGGAGGCACCGGCCTTGTTTTTCGATGCCGACTTCGAGTGTGGAAGTTGGGGCCCCGGGCCCCGGCGCGGCGCTGTATCCTTCATCGTGACGAGTATCATGACCGCGGACACATTCTGATTTCATCATTATCGAAATCGGAGTCGTCCTCATCGTCTTCACCACTCGTCACCCCTTTATCATCCTCTTCTCTCCCGCCTCTTCTCCTCGTCGTCCTTCTCTTCCTCCGCTTCTCCCTGACCAGCAGCATCATCATCATCATCTCCTCCGTCCTCATCCTCGTCTTCGTCGCGACCAGGATCATCATCATCATCAGTGGGGGTGCTTGGCAGGCCTCGGCCCAGTCACGCGCATGACGGCCAGGGAGTACGAGGTGAGGCTGCTTTGATTTCAGACGGTGAATGTATGTCCAGTGGCAGTCTGGGGCCTCGGGCCTCTGCAAAGTGCAGAGTTGAGGAGTTACGGAGTTTATGGGATGGGAAAGTCGGTTTTCGGAACAACTCGTTAATAGGATTGTGGCGGGAAAGCTCTAGAGGCGCGCCGGAGCTGGAGTACATTTTCATTGCGTCACTCGTTCTGTGCACCTTCAGACGTAAGCAGCTTGGATGATGGCGCAGGCCTCATCACTTTGTGATGTTGAGGTGCAGCTACTCTCTGATGCTGGGGGCGGCTACGTACAGTGGCCGCGCGGCTGCACCGCTCTCGCGCAACAGCCGCTTTTGATGTTCTGTGGAAGTAAGGTTCTGCTTCCGGGTAAGAAATATGCGCGTTGGCATGTCGGGCCCCGAGCTTCGCCACACGGATCCAAGATGATGTCAAGATCGCATGAGCTGGAAGCTTCTCAGGCCATATACCTTCCACCTCACGAATTTGGTAAAGCCCGGAAGTCTCTTTGTCGGGAACCGAGAGTGTGCTGTTGCCCACTCTCCTTCCAAATTGGCTTGTCCTCCAAGGACGATGGCTGCCAGCCTGTTCTCTTCTCTCGCCGGAGCCACTCCAGAAAAGGTATGCAAGTAGCATTCGCTGTCTTCGATTCTTCCTGTCCGCGAGGAGGATGGAAGACTGTGGCGTCGGTTGGTCCCGGGAAGGCTATCTCTGGTGGGAGAGCGGAGTTCGAAGAGCAACCGCCTTGGCAGGAACCGACGTGGCCTACTACCCCTGTGGCCTCCTAGCTGCATGAACTTCTCCGTGTGGTCTTACGGAAGGAATGAGGATTTTGCGCCCGTTTTGCAGTCGGCCGGAGCCGTGAAAGAGCACATTTCAGAGGAAGGTGGAAGTGTTGACAAAAGACCCCTCCAGCTCATCATGAACAGAAACATCAAGCAAGTGGGCAGACCACACTCTCTAAGCCTCGATCAAGGTTTCGGCGCTGGAGCTAGGAAGCACTATTGTGTTTCCTTCGACGTGGTCTTCCCCTTCGAGGAGGTCCTGATATTGCTGTTGGTGCTTGCGTTGGCATCGTTAACACAGTGTTAACTACTACTCATGCTCGCCCACGACTACTAGGATGCTCGGGCGTTTTGACACTTGTTCCGATGCTGCAGCTCCTGCTCTTGCCACGGCTTCTTCCGCTTCTGCTACCGTTGGCCCGACCAGACTACCAGTACAGCTACAACCCTTGGTCAGCAGTAGGAGGAGGAGTAGTAGTAGGAGTAGCAGTAGCAGCAGCAGCAGCAGTAGCACTCGGAGTTGTAGTAGCAGCAGTAGTACGAAGACTAGTAGCGGTAGCAGTCAGTAGCAGTAGCAGATGCAGTGGCAGTGGCAGCTCCTCCTCCCTACTACCACAACAACTACTGCTGCATACTATTGCTGCTACCCTGCTGCTACTGCTACTGCCACTGCTGCTAATCCCCCACCCCACCCGCTTTTCCCCACCCCCCAAGCCTTCCGAAATCCAAAGCTCGTGTTTGCAAAATCGACAAGTGGATGTTGAGGCGGCGAGATGTGGTAGAACATTACAAGAGTACCGTAAAGACCCAGTAAATGGATGTGCACTTAAGGGAGCGGGTGGGTGCCTACTACTGCTGCTGGGTTATCATTTTTCAATTAGCATCCGGATCCATATTGCTACCGTCGCAAGCAACGGCACTAGAACTGTGGAGCACCGGCCTCATACGTCGGACTGCCAATTTCGCAACTTCAACTCGTGCTTCTGCTGCATAAGCCATGGCCATGACCGCGCCAAGTACCCAGTCAACCCTTCTGGCCAGTGCTTGCTTCGACCGTCCATCGATTCCGAGCGTTGTGGCTGGTAACAGGTGTCCTCAACTACAAGCAGTGCAACAAGCTTTCCGGAAAGTTTCCGGCATGTTGTAACCCATGGATCAACCCATGGAGCATTCTGCAAAGCACTCGAAAGTGAGACACCTTGGTTTTTCATTTCTTGCCTTCATTGCACGCCATGGCTGAAGTACATGCTGGTGGCAAACGAGGCTGGGTGCGATTTGATGTTACAAGTTCCTCGCACGTGCTTCAGCATTCTTCGTCACTTGCTCAGACAGTCTTTGAAACTGCTCCCCCAAAGCTTCTTTCATGCTTGTTAAGCAGGCTGAGTGCCTGTAGATCCCACGAGTTCCTGAAGCACACATCCTTTGCCGAAGGAAAGACCTCTGCTGAACATGGAGTTCCATGGGGCTTGCTCGTTGTTCTCCTTGTGCTGTTGGGCTTATGCTACCAGCTCCTTCAGCAGGCAGGGTAGGCTTTCGTTCAGCTGCTTTGGAGTCCCTGAAACTATTCTTTGTGTCGCACAGGAGGCAACGAGAAAAGAGGTGACTGTCCTCTTGGCAGGACAAGCTCTCGTTCATTGCATTGCGGCATGCCGGTACCGCTAAAATCAACTCAGGGATCCCAGTTTAGATTGCCCGTGTCGGATTTCAGACAGGGCAGGGCAACGAGTTGGCTTCACACCGGGCCGCAGGACTTCGAACTTCAATCTTTGGCGCGGCTGAATCTCGGAGCGCGCTGCCACAGGCCGACGGCGCAACATTTCGGAAAGGATTCGCCGGTGCTTCCCTTGTGAATGGCACGTACTCTACGAAGTCATGGGCAGGGACCTCCGGAACTTCCAAGAGATGTGCAGGTCCTAGCACCTTGGACCCGCAATCTCTCAGTTTTCGGAGCTCCGTTCAACCTGCACTTACACCATTTGCCACAGCTTCTCATCCTCATGCCTTGGAGCGAGTGCCTGACACACGGGGGATACATCTAGGACCCAGCTGACCATTTTCACGGTCAAGTCTCCGCTCATCTCAGGTTTTCTTCGTGTTGGCCATCTTCATCATGAACTGGTCTGTGCGGATAGTCCTGGTCGAGCCGCTGGCTCGCCTGGTGGTGGGCGTTCGTGGGGACGTGTGCCTTGGGCAGCACCAGAATTCTCCGCCTCATCTCATCAATCAGCAGCCTTAATGCAAGAGGTCTGAACGAAGGGGATCCCGCTTCCAGGGCTCTCATCTTTGCAGACTACTGGAATTGAGTGCTTTTGGGGTGAACATGTCAAGCTTGAATCCCTGAAAGCCTTGGGTTGTTCTTGAGCTGGCCATGGAGGTTGGTGAAGTTCTCGCAGTCGGTCCTGGAGGTGCCGCGATCACGGTTCTTTTATGTGTTTTGTTTCGGCTTGCAGGTCATGAACAAGCTACTTCAATGAGATGAGCAGTCAAGCTCAAGAGGTCACTGCAGTCAGATTTTATCAGGCAGCGCGCACGTACCGGTTTCGTCCCTAGCGGACTTGTTCAACTAGCTACCTGGGGCCTAAACTGCAGCGTAAACAAGGACAAGTTCCTCGTGGAAGCTCGCGTCTGTTTTTGATTGAAAACACCTTGTGGAAGCTCGCGTCTGTTTTTAATTAAGAACACGCGTCTGTTGCACCCATTCTCAAGCATGTGTTCAAGCATGGCATGTCAGCCCGTGTTGCTTTCAAGATTCAACCCAATGTGTTTCGAACACCTTTCCGTGACAATCATTGGCATTGAATGCCACCTACAGTAGCTTCGATCTTTTCATCACTGGCATTGGGTGGGAGGGTGGGCCAGTGTTTTTAATTAAAAGCAGACGCGTGTTTTTGATTTGAAAATTGTCCTACCATGAGCTGTTTTCGTTGTGTTGTTTTCGAGATCAAGGGTTTGGAACCAGCACTTGGTTTATCGCGGGCGAGTCGCGAAAGTCTTCGAGCTCACAGCCTGTTGCTGCCGCAGTGACGGCCAGGCCCTCATCTACGGGACCTTCTCTCTGATCGGCATCTCCATCGCCGGGCCCTTAGACTTAGCGCTAGCTTTGAGAGCTGAGAGTGTTCCTTGCAGGGATGAACCGGCCTTCGCCTTCAGTGCCTTCAGTGCCTTCAGGTTCCGGCTCAGCCTTGGTCTTGGCCGTCGGCGAACTGGTGGCGAGGCTTTGACAGCGGCCCCTCGGCTTGCTGGCACTGGCACCTGCAGTTGCTGCTTTACTTTTGTCGCCTTGAAGTTGGGGTCAGAGATGACATGGAGGAAAGAGAAGCTGCAACAGTGATGGTGCAACATCAAACGCATCAAACGTTGCAGCCACTTCCGTTCCCAGGTGGAGCAGAAGGGTGGGGAGCAGTACCTTCTGGATTCGTCAACCAACCGTCGTCGAACCTAAAATGTTTGAGGGCTTCGTCAAGCACATCCGGCGGGCAGAACCAGAAGCATCTTGTAATGCAGCACGTACGATGAAGCGAACGCAAAGCAAGACAGGGCAACAGACGCCGTCAGATGCAAGCTGAAGGAAGAACAGACCCCCTCCAGCAAAATCAGAAGCCCTCACTATAGACTACATAGACCACAGGCGAGCATTTGGTGATGCGGTCCGACCTGCGCTGCTTCTACATCCTCTATGGGGCGCGCTACATTCAGGCCAGGCCGCCAATGGGGCCGCTGCTTCTCTCTGCTGTGCAGCTGAGTTCTCAGGCCGCTGTGACGGTGCTGCTGGAACCCAAGAGAAAAGATTTCCTCGAGATGATGGAGTCTTGGCAGAACCTGGTAACACAGCGCTCAGCTTCAGTTTTTGGTCGTCCAGTCGTCCATGACCAGGTGCACCACGTCGTCACCATCGGTGTGGCTTGCCTAAAAGGACGTTCTGCCAAGCCTCTTGAGTTTGTCCTTGACACGCGAGGTGGTGTATGTGTCTTACCTCGGCGGCTACAACCGCGTTGGTGTAGTGGCCCCTTGTCGCACGACTCAGCGGAGGAAGCTGGACTTCTGCAGCGAGATGCCGCGACGGTTCAATCTGAGGTCATGGTTTTGCTGGACCCAGCTGACGTGCCGCTTCATCTTGCGAAGCTTGACTGTCCCAAGTTTCCAACTCTAAACCCCAAACATGTCGACCGGGCTTACTTGTACGGGCGGAAACAGGTGCTCAAAAAGCAACGTAGCCTTAACCGCAAACCCTGACCCTCGCTAGGAAGCTGTGCAAGTACACAGCCGAGCAGTTGAAGATGAACATGTGGCAGTTCGTGGCTGACAGACTCTTCGAGTTCTTTGCGGTCCTGTGCTCCGGCAGTGAAGATTAAGGGTTGCCATCAGGCGGAAGCAGAAGCCTCCAGAACGTCACCATCAACAGACTCTCCACATCTCTCCACTACGATTTTCAGCAGTTACGAACAGCATGAACCACGAGGAAGCGGAACTACGAAGCACGTGGCACGAGCAAATTCAGCCTGAGGTTTGCAGTGACGCGCCTCATCATGTTCGGGCCGCTTGGCAGTCCACGTTTTGGCTCTTAGCCGCTTGTGCCGCTTGTGCCTCGGTGTTCAAGTTGAACATGTCCTTGCCTGTTCCTGAGGTACGTATGCTGGCCGCGCTCTGAGTTGCAATGGTGATCAATGGTGAGCATAGTGTGTTTGATTACTTTCGTGAGTCTTCGAATACTTGGACCCAGAGCGAAGACAAGACTACAACATGGCTCTAGCCAAGAAAGATATGACCGAGAGTGGGCCGTGCAGGACGCAGCAGTGCGCATCAGAAGGAACCACGCACTGACTACACTACACTTAAGCACAAGCTTTAGAGCCCCGACCGTCCTTGTGTCTCCTGGAGGTCGGCTCATATTGAGTCCGCCGCGTATTTCAAACACTCCTTCGCCGCTACCGTGTGCGTCGTCTTGCTGTACCTCCTCATGGCACCTTGGCAAGCCTTCAGGCCTCCTTGTGGATTTGCAGGCTTGCGTATATGAATCAGAGCGAGTGCCGCCGAGGTCTTACAGGTCTACTGGTTTGGCCTGATCCTGAAGGCATGTGATCCCGGGCCCCGAAACCGTCTACGAACATCTATCAACCCACAGAGGAGCAGACTCTCCTGGCGGAAAGCAGGTCGCCATCAGGCTCCTCCGAGGACATGGCGTTGAGGATATCCGATCGGACGACGAAGATGAGGAGCCCGGGCCCTGGACGCGTCGATATCAGGGAGCGATTTTACGGCGTCTTGCCAAGGCCGGAAAAGAAGGACAGCAAGAAGGATTCGTGAGGGTTTGCAATAGACCAGCCATCGGTCTGGTCGTTCCAAGGGGCAGATGCACTAGAACTAGAGCCACAACGCAGGTGTTTGTAAGTGGAAAAGCTCTTCCCGCATGGCAGTTGCCTCGCCACGCTGTTTTAAATTCGCGGCTCAGGAAAGCCTGTGGCTGCTAATTTGCATCGAATCGTTCTCTCTGTTGGTGAAGCTGCGGCACAGGTGTTTCAAGGTCATCGTCCGTCCGTTGTTGAGCATGTTCTGTGTGAGTAGAGTGGTTGACCAGTGGCGCATCAAGCTGGGCATGTTACGCGGATACACGCATTCAATAGCTTTGCAAGCATATCTGCACTGTTGAGACACGGTGCTTTGCACTTACCGGGCCATTGACTATTGGTTGTCCAATTGTTCGTCACAGTATTTTTCTGCTCTCTGCAATCTTTGCATGCATGTGTGTGCGTATGTATATATGTATGTATGGACGGACGCACGGACGAACGGATGGATGGATGGATGGATGGATGGATGGATGGATGTAACGTATGTATGTCTGGAAGCACGTGGATGCGTGCATCTGTGCATATTTGCAAGTATGCATGCATGTATATGCATGCATGCACACTGCGGAACCAACACGTACATGTACATGGAGGCATGCACACAGCGTGCATATATGCATGCATACATACGTACGTACATACATACATGCAGACACACACACACACACACACACACACACTTTTGCAGATTCACCGAGCCAAGTGTCGTGCTTCCGATTGTGTACATCTCGTTCGACCGGTGTGGTTCAGAGGTTCCACAAAGATGCTTCACGAGCAGATTCATGCACCGCGGCCTCATCATCTGACGTGCTCGGATACAGCCTGACAGCGGCTTGTCCTTTGCGGCACCGTTTTGCGTAATTCGCCAAACAGCGTTGGAAGCTGGCGAACTTCAGCAAGCCGAAGCCTTGCCAAGTGAAAATGGAGAGTTGCAGATGCGGACACCTTCAGAGCAGCTCGAAAGAACAGCAGCCCGACTTTGGCAAAGTGGGCGCAGGACGAGTGTTTCCTGGCCTACTCCGTTCCCTACTCCTACACCGACCTGTCTTGGCCTCAAGCTGTTGCTACAGGAGAAGTTGAGAAGAGGACAGTAAATAGAAGCACTGAAAGACTGGAAGATGAAGCTTCCGCGTGAATATCAGGACGAAAAAGTCACATAATGCGCTTCGAGACAATGATGGTGATGCGGGGGAATATAGCATCGAGGTTCTCCACGGCCCTGTCGTGGTTGCAGAGATCCTTGAAGCTGGAGAAGCTGGCCCTTGAAGCTCGAGGGCTTTTTCTCTAAGTCCTGCAGATGCGTACCGGGGATGTCTACGAAGACGGAAGATGATGGGAGCAACTAGCCAGCGCGTCATCACCTAAGTTGGCCAAAGCGACCTCGAGCCCTCGGAGTTTTCAAACGCCCAACTGTGCAGCCAAACACCCCAAAACCCTCAAGACTCAAGACCCGAGCACTGGCGTTCTCCGAAACCCGCAAACCCCTGAGGCTTTCCCGAACAGCAATGGCTCCTTCAAGGGTTCTGAAGGCTCTATCCTTGGTCCAAATCAGGCTCGCAGATCTTGCCCGCTGGCCGGTCGAGACAGAGGCGCTGGCGCTCACTGCGGCGGGCAAGGAGGCGGAGTTCACCAGAAAACGGTCCTGAAGATAACAGGGTTTGGGGTAGGGCTTGCAGGGGTTTAGGGTTTGGGGCTTACTAATCCTTCAGTTGAGCCCCATTTCCTCTGCCATGAGTCCCTGTGTCGTCGCGTCAGCTCCGGCGCGAACGAAACAAGCTGAGAGAGTCAACTGTGCAAATCCCTAGCTCTGAAGGCAGAAGCACAGGAACCCGAGCCGTCCGACTCTCGAGGTCCTGGCCCTGCGCCTGGGCAACCAGTCTGCCCAACACAGGGCCTGCATCGTGGCAGCGGAGCTCAGGAGATGCTTCGACCCAGTTCGACGTTGAAGTCTTGTTTTTGTATTGGACACGTCGTGTAACTATTGCTACATGCATGGCAGACAGAAGGATTCGAAACTGACTGCTTCAATGAGCATCATAGCCCTCATCGCAATGCTTGCCGGTTTCAAAGCGCCTTCAGTCAGAGAAGTGTCACCACGCAAACCTGAGTGGTCACACTGGAACCAGTACGGGTGTGTTGCTCATCTGCTACAACCTCTGATGAGCTCGACCAATCCTAGAACACCCCGACCATCACTGTATGGTTGCTCCAGTGAGCCGAAATCCAAGGCCAGAGCCCACCCTGGCGAGACGCACGCCTCCTGGGTGATGCGGGGTGCAGCGGCCTTGGCACAGAGCCAGACAGCCAGACAGCACATTATGTTATGTGGGTTCTTTTGATGTGGGTTGTTGAAGGCGTAGCAGAGCAAGTCTTGGTATTTTCAGGCCTTTGGAGCTTCTGAACCTGCTCGAAGAAGGTTCGACTGCTTTTGGGCCTCCGAGTCTCAGGTGATGGAATTCCTGATGGGCGACCCTGAGGTGCATGGCTTGAATTTCTCGAGGAAATACGGAGACAGCAGGGAACGCACTTCTAGTGACTTCTAGTGTTTAGAGAAGGTTCCACTTCAACTCACCCAGCTGCTCCTGCTCCCCCCTGCTGCAGGAATTGCTGCTTTTGCTCTTAGGTGCTCTTCTCGGAATGCACTGGAAGCTGCGACATTCTGTATGTACCGGCTCATGTGTCTTTCGTGCGTCAGAGTTCTGCAGCAGTGTGGTTTTAGAAAAGTCGCATGCCGAAGGAGTGGCGTGAGAACACTTGCGAAGCTAACCGCACGAACCAAGCCGACAGAAAGGAGTGCAATGAGTAATTCCGGAAGAACCGGGCAGGATTTGTGTTCGCAGTAGTTTGTAGGCGGGCCTCAGCCGTGCCAGGCACAAAGCTGCCTCGATCAACTTGCATGGCTCCTTGTGCCAATGCCGCCGGCTCACAACATCTGCATACTAGCCGACAGACCTGTGGTGGTAATTGGGCTAGGATGGCGATGCCTGCACGATTCGAGGCTGAACCCTGATGGGGTTATGGCGGGGCGCACGAGGACGAATTTGGACGCGGTGGACCTCAACAGGCTTCAGCCCTCGCTCCTGTTTCTCAAACTAGCGCGACGACTGGCCTGGTGGTGCTGCCGCGCGTCAGCCATGACATACTGTAGGGCTGCAGGGTAGCTGAACTATAGTACGCAAGGCTCATCAAGGCTCTGTACATGCCGGCCACGCGCAGTAAGGAGCAAGGCGAGAGAGATCGTTCAGTGTGGCGACGAAAGGCGAAAGCCGTAAAGGACGATGTGCGGAGCGGGGAAGTAGTGCGATGCCGCCCCTAGGGAGGGGTAGACGAGTTTCTGCAGAGAGTGATGTTGTTATTCTGATGTTTGCTCTTGCAATCAGTGTGCTTCGCGTCACCGCGAGTCGTTTGTCTCGTGGACACTGTTACCCAAACTACCAGCGCACAGGGTCTACTCTGGTAAAGCGTTTCACGTTGATCTCAAACCGACATTGGTTCTGCGACCCCTCTTCGGGATCATTCCCCTCACAACAGCCTCCAACTACCGGCCTTTTGAAGACCTTCAACCCCCAACTTCGCACTCGCCTCAGATTTCCTGAGAGTTTGTCGCGAGGCATCACCATGACGACAGCGCCCCCGAGACGAAGGGGCTCAAGAGCGCACTCCAGGCCATGCAGTCAAAAATGTGTTCCAGAAAACTGTGCATTCACGTCGGAGGGCATTCTGGCGTGGTGGGCCTGCGCAGAAAGAAGAAATAACCAAAAAGCAAGAAAGAAAGAACGACAGAACAAAGACAGCAAACACAAGAGAATAACGAAATCGAGCGACAAAGAAGCAACGAGCTAGAGAAGCAACGGCGTAACAAGAAAGACCAAACACATAAATAAGGAAAATAATACACTCATAAAGAGAGAAAGGCAGAAGCAACGTAAGGTCAGAGAGACAAGAAACATAAAGTAGATGCAGTCACAAAGGGAAAGATAAGCAGAAGGAAAGAAGGCTATTAATGTCATGGCTGGTGTGACTATCTCATCTTATGTTATCTTATCCTATCTATTTATCATCCATCTACTCTCTCTCTCTCTCTATCTCTCTCTATCTATCTATCTATTTATTTATCTATCTATGCATCTCCGTTCCTGCCTGTGACGCCCAGGCCGAGGCTCAGGAGGGGGAGCTGCTCGCTTTCATCGACATCCACAGCCACTCCAGGCCTTGCGTCCTTACAGCGGCCTCAGAGTTTGTAGGGTTGAGGGCCAGTTTAGGAGGGTTTAGGGTTTACAGCGGTTCAGGGTTTGGGGTTTAGGGTCTTTAGGGGTTCAGGGTTGAGAGCCAAAGAGCCTTTAGGGTCCGTACTGGTAGGGTTTAGGATTCATTCTGCTCCCATGCCAAGCTCTTGTTTGAGGCGGCGGGGAATCTTTGCCATCGCAAATGCCACCGATGGAGACCGCCTTGTGTCGCTGATGGCCGCGAGGCCTGCATTTGTTTTGTTGAGCGCAACTGTGCCTTCTGTCTGTGAACTCCAGGACGCATCTCCTGGATGCCGCTGGAACTAGCCGCTCGGAGATCCGTGCGCAAGATGTCCACCTGAGCCTGCTTGAGGGCAAGAGAGCAGCCTCTCTTGTTTGACGTCTGACTTCGTGCAGCTCCGCAGCCAGGCTGGTGTTGGCCGCGTGGCGGCTGCCAGCCAGGGATACAAGTACAGTGCGATCCCAAGCCCACAACTTTCGGACGAGTGAATGCATGTGAACCTCATCTCAGCACATCGAATGCGGACTCTGGAAGGTTTGACCATCGAATCTTCATTGTGTGCCGGATTCTCGGAAGATGCAGGGCCGGAGGCTACAGACACCAAACGCTGGCCGGTCTTCGGGACCGTCCCAAGACTTGAGAGTTGAGGAAGTGTTTTGTCATCCGACATGAGGCTCGGCACGTGGAGGTCGGTGGTGAACACTTGTTGCTGCAGGCAGGGCAGAAAGAAACTGCGAATGCTGATAGTACACGGCAAATGTCGCCACTGTGATCCTGATCTTGCCTAACAGCAATGATCGCAAGAACGGCGTGGTGAGTTTCGTATTCGCGTTCTCGAGGTGCAGCTGTTAGATAAACTGAGAGGATCAGAGAGGTAGGCTGGTTGGCAGGATCTCGCCAGCGTCGGCCGTGCGATTTGTCGGGGGCTCTGCACGAGCGTTCTCTGGCTCTCTTGATGGCGACTGAAGAACCCCAGCCGCAAAACCCTTAGCCCGATAACTCCGACCCAAAACGCTGCATGCAGAACTCATCGCAGGCACTTCTGCATTTCCAAGGCCTTGCAGTGGCTGACCTCCTGAGTTCCACCGACGAGACAACCAATCAAACTCCTCCAGAGATTGCGAAGGCCAGCAGAGTCGAGAATGGGGTCCCTAAGTAAAGAACATGCCAACATAACGGGTGATGTTGTGATGCTCTGTCTGGAGATCATACTATAATATAGGTGAGAAGCGGCAGCTCTGCCCTGCCGCGCCTTGATGGTTACGAGTCCAGTGCAGTGTGATGTAAAGTGTGCGGAGGCTGGTTTTGGGCTGCGAAACCTGCACGAATATGAGTTCTTGAACAATGCAAGAACAGAAGATGTGAGGGGAGCCCCGTCCGCTTTGCGTGACAGCCTGAGCCGCAAAGCGAGCACATGCCGATGCAGGTCCCGAACTCGATGTTCGCCGAAGGCGTCGTTGATGCCGAGGACTCGCCATGTTGAGGGTAGTACTTGGAGGGATGGGGGTAGCGACACAAGGAATTGTGATGTTATGGTCATGGGTTTGCTATTGGTGCACGAGGGACATCAACAGTGTAGCAGTACTGGTAGCACAAGAGCTTAGACAGGGACTTGTCGACAAAGTGGATTTAATGATCTGGTCTAGCATCACCTGCAAGGGAAGATCAGACCTGGCAATTCAGCAGACGTATTTGGAAAAAATCAGCAGACGTATTTGGAAAAGATAGAAGAGTAAGGTAGCAGGTGAGTAGACCCCGCGATTTGATTCGGTGTGAACCCTGATCCCGGAACCCGCAACACCAAACCCTACACCTCAGCAACAAAAAGCCCTACCAAAATCCCGAGCGGCCCTTAGCTCTACACATCCCTTTACAGGACCATGATGAAGCCGACGAATTTGCTGTTTTAGAAGAACGTCGGCCCGACACCTCGTAGCGGCTTTCTCCGGCTTTGCATCTCGTGGCGATCGCGATCGGATCGCCGGATCGCGTGGAAGAGCCCCCCCATTTTTCTCGAGGTAGTTTAGCGCATGGGTTTAAGCATGAGGCATGCTGTTGGGCTGCTAGGCTTGGGCATTTGGGGTTTAGAGAACCGTGCAGCCGTGAACGGCTCTCCGCGAGGCGGAGCATATCCGAGCCCCGATCCTCAGTTTGCTCTCGCGCCGTGTTCGTCGGTGGCCATCCCGATAGATATGTGAGGACAGCTGATCATGGTAATGTAGATCTCTTGTCGGTCGAGCCCCTTTCGGTCAGGGGGGTCGGTACAGGATCCTATAAGCAGTTCTTGTCGGATCTTCGTCCTAGCAGCAAAGCCCGAAATCCTTGGCCCGATGATTTACTACAGTTACACAACGCAAGTAACTACTGAGGATGGCCTTCTTTGGATGGTTCCACTCGGAGTGCTCTTCTCCCGGGTTTCAAAAGGTCGCAGAGCCTGGCTCCATCCCAGAGCTGTCGATGTAAAAAACAGCGGTATTGAGGGTTCTAGGAAGACAGGACTCTGGCTTGCCTTCTGCTGTCGAGCAGCGTTTCATCTTGACGGCGCGCCGTCGCGCTTGCGTGCGGAAGCAGAAATTTGAGATGGAGCCATCTTGGCCGAGCAGGCTGCATTCTGTCGTCGGCTTGCAGTGCAGTGCACAGCAGGGGGCAAGACTGAGCTCATAATCATATGTATCGGCTCAAAGATGCACGTCCCTGAACTTGAGCTTCTGCGAAGCATTCGACGCATGAGCCTGCTTCACGAGCTTGTCTTCTAGATGTTCATCTTCCTGTGCTGATCCTGGCCAAGCCGCTAGCGGCTGAGCCGGCGTCCAGATGGGAGACAGGCGTACGTTCTGTGAACCTTTGCACAAAATGTACTGCATTTAGAGTTTATGTTGCATTGACTGAGAGCACTGTGCATTCATCTTTCTGCCATCAGTTCTCGAACGCTTCGTCCTTTTAACTGCCGATCTACTACTCCATCATGGCAATCGTGAAGCTGTTGGTCTTCGCATCATGCTGGCCAGTCCTGATACAGGCTGAAGCCGTTGAGGACGTGATGCCGGCGGGTGATGACGTTGACGATGAATGCGCTTCCCCAGGATGTGCGCTTCAAGCTTTGCAGTCGCGTGCTAAGACCGTTGTCAATCAGGCCACGGTGGACGCGACTTCTGACAAATATGCGAGCGTCCCGGGGGTAGGCGATGATGGCTGGGACGACTTGCTGCCTGATCCGGATGATATGGGTGACGAAGAGGACGACAGTCTTCCTGATGAGGAAGGCCCCAGTGGCCCCGGTCTGTGTGGCACCGAGACTTACGACCACTCAAAGGAAGGATGCTGTGGCAGTGAGCTGTACGACCTGACGACGCAGAGCTGCTGTGGCAATGACATCTTTGACATCAAGGATGAGGATTGCTGCAATGAGACCACTGTCTACAACACCACCAAGCAAGGCTGCTGCAATCACAAGCATGTCTTCAATCTCGGCGAGGAGCACCTGGACCGCAGTAAGCACACTTCTCTGCGGTTTCTGGGAGGGTGATTCTAGGTCCTAGTAGGTCATAGCTGAGGTACCTCACCTTCGGGCTGAAGTGCATTGCGCCTGCAAAGCCGCCATGGAACACGCAGTTCGACTGCACCGATGAATGGCCCCCGAAGAGCTACGCTGAGACCTGGAGCCGTTACTGTGCTGCAAAGCGGCGCGGGTATCACATGGCCTGGGCCATGACCCGCTCCTGTGAGGTGGGCTGGCTCTCCGTTATCCAACGGACGCAGGAAGATGCGAAAATGAAGAGTAAGTCGCAATGCCAGTCGAGATCCAACCAGTACAAGAAGGAGACCTGCTACATCTTTGACTTCGATGGCAAGGCCTGCCATCGTCAGCGCTGCGGCAACATACTCTACGATGCAACAATGATGGGCTGCTGCAACGGGGAGGTCTTCGACTCAAGGACTCACGCCTGTTGTGCGGGCACCGTCTACGAAACCAAGACAACCGGATGTTGCAACGGCAAGGTGTACCACAAAGAGCCGCGCAGGTGCTGCGGTGGGAAGCATCTCTTCAACAGCAACACACACGGTTGCTGCTTAGAGAAAGGACCCCAAGTGTTCCGCTTCGGAAAGCAGAACTGCTGCGCTGCCCCCAAAGGCATCTGCAAGATTCCCACAGGTATCGAATCCTGTTGTAAGAAGGAAGGGAGGTTCCAAAAGTATTGAGCCTCAAGGCAGTGAGCACTGATGAGCACTGCACCCTAACCAGTCTTGCTATAAAACGTGGCGACTGGTAGATTCTAGATTCTTGACTTGAGCACCGCTCGATTGAAAGAGGAGTGGAGTTTCGGGGAGTAATTTCCGCATGCTTTGGTGCACAAGCCGAGCTCCGATCTCAGAACGCATCCAAGCAGGCGCCCTGTCGGAGCCGCCGCGCAGGCCTTCGTCTAACTCATGGCCGTTCGAGCTGCCAGCTTGAGTGAAACCCGGGTCGTCTGGGATGACTCCATTTCCATGCTACTGCTACTGCTGCTGCTGCTGCTGCTGCTGCTGCCATTCGTTTTTGTTTTTATGGCAGCACGACACAAAACAAACGTGAAGAATCAAGACTGGTTGCAGGAGCACTTGTATCGGTACATAATGGGCTGGGGACCGCGGTTTGAATAGATTCCATGGACGTCGGGAACCTAGCGCACAAAGCTGGCCAGGGGCGAAGTGTTCGGGGCTAGCAGATTTTGGGTCAGGTTTGAGCAGGGCTACTTCGAAGGTGTCTTGATGCAATTCTATGTTGTGCTGCCTTTGACGTTGCATCATCCCAGCAAGTTGCCCGATGCGGCTCGTGTGCAGGATGACGGTCAGCACGCCGAGCTGAAGAGTGCATCGCTTGGTGTATCATGAGCAGAAATGATTGAAGGCGCCGTTGCACTATGAGTTTGCTGCACGAGGCTTCTAATCCAGTGTCTTGCAAGTGCGTTGCAACTTGGTACCTGCAGTCAGCGTTCAGCTTAGCACCGCAGCGGTCGCTCATTCCTGCTCAAGTCCGAGTGAGTCGTGCACCCCCCACACTTCTCTCCCAGACGTTCCCATGCTGACCCATTGTGTCCTCGTCATGACATGCCCTCCGATCCCATCTGTCTACCTTAGAATGCCGCCCAAAGTGTGATTCGCCTGGGCTGAGGACCGTTTGATGCCAGGGCTCCTGCTGGTACTCGTAGGCTCTCGTAGAACGCGCTTGTCTTCGGAAGGCGCGCTCAGGAGGCGATCCGCCATGACAGGCTGCGGGCTCCGCCGGAAACAACAGGCTGAGACGGTGCGGAGAGCCTTGCTGAGGTGCGCTCGACCTGAGCTTCGGCTTTAGTGGCCCAGGCGGGACGTAAGTCTGAAGCCGTGGTGTGGCATCCCGTTGCATCTCCTGTCAAAGGCGATGAGGATAAGAGCTGCTGCCCCAGCTTCCATGGATGAGTTGAGATATTCTCGATTTCCTGCGTGGGAGGCGACTTGAAGCATCAGGGCGCTGCCCCAGACCGCCAGCGCCTGACAAGCTTGGAAACCAGCGCAACGCTGCGTGCCTGCGTGCCTGCGTGCTACGGCAGTATGGCATCGAGGCTGCGCGGGCCTGGGCCAAAGCACTGGCGGACAGCTCGCCAGGTGGGGCAAAGAGAAGCCATCGAAAAAAACCCGAAAAACCCGACGAATGCTGTCCCAGGAGCTGCCTTGGGCTGGTGGGTGCTCAGACGCTGAAAGACATTCGTGCGGGCTTCCAAGCCCAGGCTGCACCTTCCTTAGCCCGGGCCGCCGGTCTGCGAAGTCTGCGAAGCTTCGTTTGCCGTCTGCCTCCTTTGCTGAAGCCGTGCAGCTTTTGAGGTCAGCAAGGATGTGGAGCATGCAGAGCACAAGCCGCTGGGAGTAACGAGCCCGTCGAACCTGGCGGTGAAAGCTGCCGAGAGGACTCGCCGCTATGTTATGGACACGTCTTGATCCGTTACATTCTCGCACCCGGGGGCTTGAGCGATGGTTCCGAGCTTGGATTGGGTTTCCCGGCAGTTCGTTGATGCCTGCAGGGAGGCCACGCCGACGCCAGTCTCCCCTGCAGCAACACCCAGGGCTTGGGACTCGAAGTAGGAGTACGTCCACATTCGGGCTATCAACGTCCGACTGTTCAGATTCGTCGGTTGCCAAGGCGAA